GCGAGCCTCCGCGCAGGGCAGCTCGGCCCGGATCGGCCGGCGCGCCTGCGCTCGGTGCGGGCCCGCGAGAGCAGCGACCCCTGCAGGCGGGAGGAACGCGCGACCGCGTCGCGGAGGCAAAGCGAGGGGCGGAAGAGCGACGGCCAACCTGCGCCCTCGGTGGCCGCCTCGCTCCGAAGGGAGGAAGGGTCTTCGGCCGACGCAGCCTTCTTCTGGGCTACGCTGAACTTTAAGAAAAAATAGCGGCTTCTTAACCTGTAAAATGTCCTGTGTTTTATTTTATTCAAAAAGCTGCCCATCTCACTTAGTGACTCTGGATACCTCACAATTAAAAACAACAACAAGAACAATAAACTTTGTAAATAAAAAGAACGCATATACAACCGTATTAAAACCACTATTAAGTAAACACAAAACATAATCCCAGCAGGTAAACACAATCAATACCTCCGATTCAGTATAACCATTGAAGAGGTTTTTTTAAAAAAGCATCAATGCCCTGTTGGATGGTAAACCAGGAATATCCACAATGGGACTTTTTTTTATCATGATCCGTTAAAAAAAATAATAAAAAGCAAGCAAGTTTTCAGGTTCTCCGATCCCTCTGTCAGGTCAGGTGGTGTAAAACAAGCAGAAGCCCAACAGCTGCCTGTCCTTTTGCTCACATCTGGATGCCGGCAACGAGCGGGACTGGCTCGCCCCTTCCAACTTCAGGAGTCCGAAGCAGGTCCAAAAGCCAGGTGAGGCTCGGCTGTGTGCGGAAGGGTGATTGCCTCTGCTCTGCCTTCTTCTGCCTCGCTATGGAAACTGGATGGAGAAGCTTCAGAAGGATGGTCTTGGCAGGTGGCAACATCCACCTGGCTCAGAGGATCTCTTAGCAGAATTAGGCAGGGTCACTTCTGGGACAGGAGGAGGAGGGAAATGCTAGGCTTAGACTGGAAATTGGCCCTATTTAAGGGCAAGAAGATCATGGCCAGGAGCTGAGCTCAACTGGAATGTAACACCACACCATTTGAAAGAAAAACAGTGTGAGTTAACATGGTCAAGAGCTCCTTCTGAAAATCTTCACAGCTCTAGCTTTTAAGAAATCTTTCTTGAACACTTGTCTTGTGTCCAAAATAGAAGTCAGTTCTGAAGTGGAAAGACGGTGCCCCTTTGGTTTAGATTCTTTTGGACCAGAGAAGCTTTTGGCTGAGTCTACAAAGCTTCTGGTTTACAAAAAACAGGGGATTTCTTTGGATCATGAGATTCTGAAGAAGTCAGAATGTCTCATTAATACCCAAGTGATTACCACCTGATCAAAACAAACAAACAAACAAATAATAATTATAATAACTCATTGTCATCGTTTTTCTGGTCTTCCTATCCAGGGCTTCTAGTTCAGCTTGAGTCCAGTC